CAGGTGCCGGAGGGAAGCCGGTGTCGGCAGCCGGGGGAAGGAAGGCCTACTCTTGCGCGGATTTCCGTGCACTGGGCCTCTAGTTTTAAAATACCTAAGTAGAAATATTCAAAAATGGATAGGACTCCATCGCCCTGTGGCGTCTGAGCGCATCCCAGCCTCCTGTTGACCTGGAGGAACCCCTCCTCTTTGTGGAGGACCTGAGCCGGGGGCGGGCTCCGTGCGGACGGGGAGGGCCTGCGCGTTGGTGTGGGGCTCAGGGCCCTGCTGCCGAGCACGGGAGAGCTCCCCGCGTGTCTGAGGAATGGAGGGAGGAGGCATGAGGAAAAGGCAGGCTCTCAGCGCTCCGTTCCGCCTCCACTCGGGGTCCCTGAGAACACGTCCCGAGCAGCTCGGATCTGAAACCCGGTCTCTCGGGTCAGACGCTCGGGAGTCTTCCACCCTCTCCCGTGCTTTTGACCATTTTTTTAAAATTTTTTTATTGATTGATTTGAGGGAGGAAGGGAGAGAGAGAGAGAGAGAGAAAAACATCGATTTGTTGTCCTACTTATCTATCTGTTCATTGATCGATTCTGACCAGGGATCGAACCCGCAGCCTCGGCGTAGCAGGACGGCACTCTGACGCTCGGAGATTTCCTCCAGGGCCGGTGCTCCGCTGTCTTTACAGGCTCCCAGGCAGCACTGATCACGGTGTCGGCCGCACGGCAGGCTTCCGTGTTCGACTTCATCCACGGGGCCAGAGCCTCCTGTGGAGACGGGACGGTCCTCGGCTCAGCCTCTGAGCCCGGGATGAAACACATCGATCCGGAGGCGTGGCCTCAGAGGGCAGGCGGAGTGCCCGGAGTGTTACCTCCCGACGCGGCTGCTTCCTCAGAGGTCAGCACGGAGGTCACCCGGACAGAGAGCATGTGGATCGATCAGGAAGGGATCGTCGACTCGCGTTCCGCCCGTGCGCATCCCATGGCTCTTCGTCAGAGGGGCCCGCACTGCGGGCTCCGGGCAGCCTGGCTCCCTCATTGTTGAGCGTGTGGCTGGGGCTACCCTCCTCTCTGAGCTTTACTTCCTGTCTGTAAAATGAGGGTGGTGATAATAATAGAACCGCCCCGGGGGGTGCTGGGAGCCTGGTTCAACGAGATGACGCAGGCTAAGTGCCTAGAGCAGGGGCTGGCCACATCGGCGTTGGCAGCTGGTGAACCCCATGCCGAAGCCGTCACCCTCGTGCCGCAGGCCACCGTTGCACGGGGCACGGCCGTCTCACGGAGTTCGTCCATGTGGGACATGCTGCCCAGTCGAGGGACGTACCGTCAGGTGGGAGCGGTCCCGTCTCGGGGGCTGGGAGGTGATGCTGAGGACCCGTCACCCCTGATCCGAGGATGATGCTCCCGGACACACTCTACCTCCCAAAGCTCATGACTGGGCCAACCCCCCGGGCAGGTGTGAGCGCCTGCCCCTTCCAGCTCGGTCTGCACGGGCACCAGCCTGCCCCTCCCTGAGACCCTCCGCCCACAAGCGTCACCGCTCCATGCAGAGCCGTCTTCTTTCACGGGGTCCCCCTTTGTCTGCGGGGTTCACGTGAATTCTAGCCTCTTATGGGGCTGTTTTTGCTCCTTCCAACCTGCAGATCCGGGAGCCACCTCCACACCCACACACTGTGCTCCCAGCCACGCAGGCAGATTTGCACAGAAAAGATCTGGCCCTGGCCCGGGGAGGGTGGGCAGCGGCCGGGCAGGGGTGGTCCAGCTGCTTCAGGTCCCGGGACAGGGCGTTCACATCTGCTTCGTTCCGTGGCTGAGCCTCTGCGCCTCAGCCTCCCCCGTGAGCCCCGGGAATGCGCAGGTTCGAGCCCCAGTGTGGGGCGTGCAGGAGGCAGACGATCCATGATTCTCTCATCATTGATGTTTCCATCTCTCTCTCTCCCTCTCCCTTCCTCTCTGAAATCCATCTATAATAATAAAAGTGTAATATGCTAATTAGACCGACGTCCCTCCGGAAGAACCTGGGGCTGCGAGGGAAGCCCGGGTCCCGGGTGCTGAGGGAGGCCGGTGCCGGCAGCGGGGGAAGGAAGGCCAGCATCGGGCCTCTAGTGAAATATATTAAAGAAAGGAAAAGAAAAGACCAGGCCGGGTGCTCAGGCCTTACCCTCCCAGCCCGAGAAGGCGAGGGAAGCCGGTGCCGGCAGCGGGGGAAGGAAGGCCTGCATCGGACCTCTAGTGAAATATATTAAAGAAAGGAAAAGAAAAGCCCAGGCCGGGGTGCTCAGGCCTTACCCTCCCAGCCCGAGAAGGTGGCCTCCTGGGGAATCGGACACCCCTGAGCCCACAGGCCCCAAAGCCTTCACTCGTGGCTTCCTGCGGGCACGGGTTCCGACCCGCTGAGCACCGACGTCCGCCAGGAGCGGGGAGGGCAGGAGGGGCCGGCATTCTTCCCTTAGGAACGGTCCCGGGAAGCCCACGGGAGATTGTGTAGCGGCGTTGACACTTACATTAACATTCAGATTCTATTTCTCCGGGAACTGGTCTCCGGAGGCTTCCGGTCCGTAGAGGAAAGAGACGTGCCTGGCAGAGGGAAAATGAGCGTTTCTGGGCGAGAGGCGAGCCGTCTGGGCGCAGTCCCTCCCCGGGGGAGCGCAGCGCTGTGGCCCGCGGCTGTTCTGCGAGGTGTTTCCTGACCCACTTTCGGGACCGCGACTAGAAGCTTCCCCACCGTTCCGCCCGCCGCAGGGCCAGGGCAGGCCTGCAGAGGCCGGTGGCTGCCGAGAAAGGGGAGCCGTGCGTGCTGAGTGGGTGTCCTTTCAGCATAAATGCATGGTGAGCGGCTGCACCAGGTTCACCTTTGTAGCAACATCAAAGCCAAATGCAGGGAAGATGCGCTATGAAAGCAAGGAAGGCCGAAGGGTCAGGCGCACCACCTCCATCCTGGGAGACGAGCCATCTGCCCCTTCTCGTGTGCGGTGTGAAAGAATGAACGGCTTTTTATTCTGTGCTGGAGTCCTGAGCTCTCTCAGCTACAACACGGCCGCTTTCCAACCACGTTGGACTCACAGTGAATTCGAAGGTTCTTTGTGCGGGGCCTGCGCACCTCTGAGTTCCTGGTCTTCTGTGTCCTTGGGGCGTTGGGCACGTCACTGGTGGTTCTTCGCCTCAGTCTCCTCATCTGTGAAATGGGCAGAGCAGTGGCTGCCTTGCAGGGACATGGAGGGATGTGTGTAAACGCTCAGGGTGGAATTCTTTCTTACCCTCCTTCATGTTTCCGAGTGGTCGTTCCAGGACCGTGTGTGTGTGTGTGTGTGTGTGTTGGGGGGTTCCTCGAGGATCTGAGGGAATGGGAGAGTTTGAATGTGCTCCCCGGTGCCCCCCAGAGGAGCGTATGTCAAATACAGGCGCGGGAAACGCAGGCCCCCCCCCCCCCCCAATCAGAAGCTCTGCGGGGCCCGGGGACCCTATGAACAAGCCCCCCTGTGCCCGACCCTGTGGAGTGCCCACAGGCAGCCATCGACCTTCTTCCTCAGGACCAGGCCCTGGCTTGTTCAGTTGCCCACCCCTCTGGACAGAATGAGGGGCAAACCCACCCAGAAGTCCTGGGCTCAGGGCAGCTCTGCCCAGGCCTGTGCCCAGCCTCTTCTCCTGCCCTCCTGCCCGGCTGAAGCCGGGGCCCTGGCCCTGCTGCTCCTGTTGCCCCCCTGGCTGTGAGCACGCCTGTCCCTGTGTCCAGGGTCCCCAGCTGAGGTGGTGGCCGTGGCTCAGCTTCCCTAAGGCCTGGGGCAGAGCCGTTCTCCCCCCAGCATCTGTTTAGTTGATTGTGGTCCCACCTGCAACCTCATTAAAAATGAGAGTTGTCCTGCCCGGCTGGTGTGGCTCAGTGGGTGAGCACCAACCTAGGAACCAGGAGGTCAGGGTGCGATTCCAGGTCAGGGCACAGGCCTGGGTTGCAGGCTCCATCCCCAGTAGGGGGCGTGTAGGAGGCGGGCGATCAGTGATTCTCTCTCATCATTGATGTTTCTGTCTCTCTCTCCCTCTCCCTTCCTCTCTGAAATCAATACAAATATATTATAAATAAATAAACAAGCAAATAAATAAACGCAAGCTGTCCTACTGAGGACAAGGCAGTCCCGGCATCCACACAGTGGCCACGCGGGAGCCACGGCCGAGTGGCCGCCAGGTGTCCAGCTGGTAGAAACGGGAGCGCAGCTTCATCCTCAGGCCTGGAAACCGTGTGAGCTGGTGCCGGCGGCGGGAGGAGGGGAGAACGGCTCTCACTGATGAAGGGGCGGCTGGCCTGGGGCTGGACGGGGTGTCCAGGGCATTGACGGGGGGAGCGGGTCAGGGCTACGGCAGATAAGGTCTGACCTCGGTCAGGGTCAGCAGCCCGAGCTTGTGCTCAGACCCCCCGGCCTCCATCTGCGGTCCACCGGGCAGAACGAGGGTGGGGGGGCTGCCTGCCCCCCACCGAGCCACGCCACCCGACGCTCGCGACGGAGGGAGCGGCGGGCGGATGACACATCGTAAGTGGCAGGTAATCCTCTCTCAGTCTCCTCGCTGGCCGCGCGGCTTAGGGTAACCGATACCCCTGTGAATGCCACGGCGGCCGATCGAGTTACCCGGGGCGGCCTCCTTCCTGCTCCTCTCCCGATGGAATGCGCGCAGATAAAGGCCTGGAAGGGCGCCCGGCCCGGGGCTGCTCCGAAGGGACATTTGACTTCCCCTAAGCTGCGGCGACTCCCCCAGCATTTCACCCAACAAGGCCCCGGCGCCCGCACACCTGTCGGCAATCACGGCCGGGCGGGGGAGGGAGAATCCCAGGAGCAAATGGCTCCCTATTGTGGCCTCGGCCTTTGATGCCAAGGTCAGCGCCCCCTGACTTGTGGGGAATTTCACCGTCAAAGCGCTCACTTTCCCACCAGGATTAAGAGCTGCTGCTGCTGCTGCTACTGCTGACGGGCGGGCGGGGTGGAGCCCGGGGCTCGCTGGGGCTCAGGGGCTTCCCTCAGTCCTTCGTGAGCTCGTCCCTGAATCCAGCCCCTCGGCCAGGGACGGGAAGGCCACCGGTGGAGCAGACAGGGCCCTGGGTCGTGTTCCTGAAACCTGGCCCGAGCCTTGGACGGAGCCACCAGCTGGCTGGGGGTGACCTTGACTCTGCTCTCTCGGACCGTCTGTAACAGGGAGCTCATGAACCTGGCTCGGCTCAGAGGGGCCAGGGTTATAAACGGAACGACTGGGTGCCCGTTAGACCTGGACGTCAGGTAAACAAGGCAGGTCTGTTTAACGGAAGTGCCCGTGCGCCATCCGACATGCTCAGCTGAAACCATCTGCTGTTTATTGAAACGCAAATTTAACTCGGGCGCCTGCACTTGACCTGCCAGCGGCTTCGTGCCGCTTCCACTCATGTCGTTTCTGAATCCGCACGAGGAGGTGCACGGTGTGGGTCTGATATCCCAGCAGCTAAGGGAGCTATAAGCTAAAGGCAGGTGTGAAATGCCTAGATCATTCTGGAAAGTTACCCTCCCCGACCGGTGCTCATGCCCAAACCCGTGTCTTTTGTTACACTGTTCGGCGACTGCATCTCCTGGTGCCCAGTGGAGCCCCTGGTACCACGTAGATCTGAGAGAGTGCTGGTTGGGTGAATGAATACGGAATGGGTGAATGAATGGATGAATGTGAATGAATGAATGCCAGATGAATGAATGACCTGATGCTGAATGGATAAATGAATGCATGCTGAACAAATGAATGCATGCTGAACGGATGAACGAATGCTGAATGAATGAATGAATGAACGAATGCTGGATGGATGAATATGGAATGAATGAATGAATGAATGAATTACTGAATGCTGAATGGATAAATGAATGCATGCTGAACGGATAAACGAATGCTGAACGGATGACCGGGGCGGGGGCGGCAGGGGCAGCTCAGGGGCTGAATGTGACCGTCCTCCCGTCTTTGTCCCTCTGAGAACCGCTGGGAGCGCTTGGAACCGAATCCGCCCGGGCTCCCTCGCGTCTCACCGTTACCTGTGCGAGCGGAGAGAAAGGGGGGATTGAGAGAGAGACGGGGAGGGGGAATTGAGAGAGAGACAGGGAGGGGGAGGAGG